TTTATCTTTAGAAAGAGGGTTTAAGTACTTGCACCTTATCAGACATTACTTGACTCAATCTGTATTCAAATCATGTGCTTACACTGCCAATTAAATTAACACAGACTAACCTTTTTTAATCCAAATAATTGCATTAGAAAAGCATTATGTTTTCAACCATAACTAAATAGTCAATTTTTGTTTTTGTTTTTAATAAGATTCAGTTTCAAGGTTACCTTACTGATACGAGCAGGCAGATTATAAAATACAGCTTGGTGACAAAGTCTTAATATGTACTGCATGACTTCACAAAATACAAAAGTACCTTTAATGTATTACAAAGTAAAAATGCTTTTTTTCTACTCTGCTTGTTTGTGTTGCCGATGTCACAGGAAGCTCAAGAATCACGCTGATCAGACGACAGTAGATAGTAGTGGACAAGTGACTTTTGATTGATTTTGAGGTAAATTATAAAGCACTCACTCATAAATAGAACAGAATAGAATAGATAATAACTTTATTGTCCCACAATGGGGGGGTTGTGGTGTTACAGCAGCAAAAAGATTATAGCAAAAGTGGTCACACAAATGTGGACCCTAAAAAAGTGTATAAAATAACAGAATAAGTGACAGAGTTAAGAAAATAAACAAATAGATTGCTATACTGTACAGTGTTTTCTACAATATGAATACTGTGCATGTGGACAATGTGGTTGTCCTCTTCTTAAAGATATTTCAGTGGTATAATTGGGGCCAGACATTTCTGAAATTCATGCAGGATTGCTTAATATGGTTGTAATGTTTTTCTGCAGGTGTTAGAATACCACACTGAAGAAGAAATTCCATTAGGCAAATAAGGAGACATTTAGGAAAAATAAGAATGCACTTTCTCTAAAGACCCTTTCTAAAGGCATCGCTTTATTCTATATGTGATGTCACCAGAAGCATGGGTGTTTGAAATATTGTTTTTAAGACAATGTTTTACATAAATGACCATGACATGTATTCCTTTAGTGAGACTGCTTAATGCTTGGTGCCACCAATTAGGCAACTTATTCTAATGTGTGATTAGGATAAATCTTTCATCATGAATATAGCACACACTAATTATAAAAGCAGTAATTAATTGCTTTGTTTGAATGTTACACACAGTTCGGATAAAAGAAATGTCATTTTGCCTTTGATTTGACTAAGGATTACAGTCACGTTAAAGTCAGGCTGTGGTAAAAGTCATAATGACACTGAGGTAATAAAGGATCAACTTTTCAGCCAAATTGAAAACCTGGAAACTAAGTAAAGATGACTGGCTGGGACTTGTTATGGCATAACTTCAGTGCTTAGTGTAATATAATTAGGCAGTTGTTGAATCATTCTCACCTAGTCACATGCACAGCATAGTCATGGCTAGTTTCATATCTTTCAAAATAGAACAAAACTTTAGTCCTGGAACTACCTCAGTTGTATTTTCCCCAACTTCTATTACACCCTCCGAGGGTTAAACAAGCTGTAGAGAAACTTGGCAGGGAGACAGAAAATGGGATAATGTGTTGGGGAGACAAAGCAGGCGAAGACTAAAAGGTAAGTGGAGATACAGTTTTAACGGGTCACTGGACATAAGCCCATCAGATTACCAGCCACATTCCTTTCACACATGTCTTAGGAACCAGTTGATGGCTTGGCTAAGGAAATGATCACAGCTTTTGAGCTCAGTTAGATTCATATTAAGCAACCATACGTGTTTCATTACTGTAACATAAACACAGTAACACAAGGAGGCAGTATGTCTTGCAGACTGACAATTCTTTTATTTGGCCACCTGTATCTTGTTTTGATTTTGACGCTCTGTGCATGAAGAACTGCATACCTTTCACCTGGAAAAATGAGGAGTCCACTCTTCTATGAACTTTAAAGGAGCACAACATAAAACTGTAATTTGAACCCATTTCACATTTGAGGTAATCTAGTTCAGAATGAATGAACATCATCCTTAGATGTTTGTAGCAAGAAAAAAAAAAAAATAAACGAAAAAAAAAAAAAAAAACACCATTCCTGGTGCTTTTATCCTTTCATCCGGATATAATTACTCAAACCATTACCCCAAACCATTAACATTAGTGCAAAGTAGTTTTGATGATAAATGACATAGTAATGCTTTAGATATGTACCAGAATGAAATATTGTTAAAAAGGAAATCCCACTGAGGGTATGTACTACCATTTGTTAGAACTTCACACATCTTTGAAGGATATATAGCTTAATACAAGATTATTATGAGATACATGATGATATGACTTTTGAAACTTGAAATTTGGCTCAGCAGTCTTTTAGCCAATTCCTTCTCCTCAGCTTTCTGGCCTTTCAACATCTCTTGGTTGTAGTTAAAGGTTTTGAAAGTTAATTCATTTGACAAAGTTTAATATTTGTCAGAGAGTAGTACTTACACCAGATCATTTATTTTCACAGTACTCAGTCATGGTGTGCAAAAGACACAATTTCTGACATTGTGGTAGTAACATTTTTTCCAGCAGTCTTGAACCCATCCATTGTATACTGTGCGGGGATCCAAGATCAGAAGTCACTTAGTGTTATTTGAGCCAAAAAGATATATAATTTTGATCAAGTATTCAGTTAAGGTCACGTAACGTTTTTCCAGTCTCTGAGGCATTCTTGCAGCTGTACAGCCATTTGATGATGCGTGCATTGCGCTCAATAACCGATGTGCCTTGCCCTATTTTTTTGTGCAACTCATCCTCAAGAAGTCCGTCGCTTTCACCGCTGTCCCTGGAGAAACCATCATCGGACGTGGAGATGCTGACACTCCTAATGTTTATCAAGATCTCATCGGAGCGTGCTGAAAAGTTCTCCCTCCCCAAGGACTCAATCACCTCACCCTCCAGGCCGCAGTACTTGAAAAATGCATCAAAGTCTGCAAAATTTTTGGAGTACCTAGAACTGATATCTGAGTGGGAACGGCTCACTCCCTTACCAGACCTCCTCTCAATCTCAGGAACTGCAAGAAGACCATCAGCTCCTGGCTTGTTGCTGTTTTCTTTTGTCGATCCATTAGAGAGGTTCTCTGACTGAGAAACAATTACATGGAAGCTGCATTCCTTTGCCTTTCCCTCAGGTGTGCTGATTTTTTCATTGCTGTCATCATGCTCATGTTCCCTGTCAGCAGCCTGGAGCGATGGCACATATCTATTCGGAGAATTTAGTGGAAGTTTTCTAGTTATATGGTGTTTCTGGCCATTGACTTCTGACCCTCGGAGTAAGTCACATTTCTGCCTATAAAGCAGAAGAGAGTCTGGTCTCCTCTTGGAACTGAGTTGAGCAACACCTTTATGATGAGTAGATTTACTCCCAGAGATAGGATTTCCGTTACGGGTTGAACTTCGGTTAGAAGACCCAGTGCTACTCACAGATGCCGAACCGAGACTGATCACTGGCTCCTGGGTGGTGTTGACCACTTGCTGACTTTTGACGTACTTTGGTTTACTTGCAGCGAGCCTTTCCACAGCACTCATACGTCCTTTTGTCTCATTCTCCAGTTCCATTTGCCTCCGAAGGTATTCAGGACCCTTCTCAAGGATTTTTGTGGTTTCACTGTTTGCCTCCATCTTGTCCTCACAAATTTCTCCAATCTGTTATTTCCAAAGAGTCAAATATCCGTTGGTTTACTGTCAAGAGTCACAGCTACAGGATTCCATTCAAGCCCGCTCTTTGCCTGAGCATGAATCACAACAGGAGACTTCACCTTGTCTGCTCAGATCCCTCAGCCCCACCCATCCTGTGCAGGAGAGGTTTTAACCAAACACAGGCCAGTTCAAAGTACACCTGATACTAAGAACAATGAAAGCTGAAACCCCTGCAGACCTTTTCCCCACCTCCTCTTTAAAAGAGATGCGGGTCTTCTAACTTGTTTCTCAACAAACCAGTTTTCACCTAATCCTGGTTCAGTTCACTATCATTTGTGTGAATACCTGGAAAAGTCACTCATCAGAACTTTTAGTGAAAACATTCCTCAAAACACATGCTACACATCCTTAAATTAGGAATATGGTGAGTAATGTGAGGGAAATGGGGGAAGGTAGATTGTAGTGTATAATGCTTTAAGCCATGAAAACCATATTGTGCAATACCAGGAAGCACATGTAGTTGAGGTATTAAAAAGAAAGTTCTAGACTTTTCTTTGCACATACCCAGATTAGTATAACAGTTATAGAAAGTTTTACCAATAACAACAGTTTTCTTTTTGCTCATGTTTATTGCTCACTGTACATTTCCTTTCAATTCTTAAAAATCAGTACTGTTTAAATAGGTTAGTATTAGAGTAGGATAAGACTACAGTACTTTGAAATACTGTTTGTTCATTTATATATTCATTTATTATTATGCCACTCCTAAAAATTTTAGACCACCAAAAGCAATGTAGATCAAACCAACATAATCTTAATTTGAACCTAACATTTTTTGTTGGTAAAACCTTCCACCGGTCATGTACAATTTTTGGCTATGAGTACTTTTAACATGATTGTAGAAGAATTTTAGAGAATCCCTGGCTGCAATGCGATGTTGAAGAGGCGTGTCAGCCATGGCAGTCCGACAACATCTACAAACCTGAGGTACTCTCATCCATGCCGATGCCATGTCACTGTGGAGTTTTTCAACAACTCAGTGACTTCACCCCATCATCTACCCATCATCAGACAATATGCGGCAGCATCGACAATACATGCAGAGAACATTTTACACTGGGGGTCCATGTCCCCAGCTTTACAGACAATCAGAGAGAATCTCTCTGCAAGGCAGTAGTTGAATACATCACTGATCTAGGGGTTACACTACACATTCAAAGCAGAACTTCACTACTCGCAGTGTACCAACTAACCTGCAGGTGACTCACCCAAGTCTCCAAGATATGAAAGTTTTATTTCCCCACCATAGCGTAGCAACTCCATCAAATTTAAGTTCAGACATTGACCTTGGGACTCGGTTTGCTCTAGCATATATTTTATAGACATTCAGAAGTGAATTTCCAGGCGCCAAAAGATTGTCCTGCTGCACAAGCCCAGTGCCCAAGACATCCCACTATGAGATTTTCTTGTATAGAAGAGATACTGTTGCACCATTGAATCTGTCTAAACATAAAGTAAAAAAAAAAAAATCTCTTTAGGCATTGTGAAGTGTAAAAAATGGTTTCATTTACTGTTAATAACATTTAACTCCTAAAGGTAAAAGGCATGGATTTGTATTTAGCGCCCTTTTTGGAACACACACAAATAGAGAGCAACCATCTCAACTTGCTGGTAAGTAATAAATAATTTCCAAATGTTTCTCATTCCATCTCAGTATAAATCAGGCTGTTCTGTGAAAACGTCAAAGGTTATAAAACTGCAGAAACATAAATGTGAGAACTTACAAACTTGCCAGTTATTACCTATGCACCATACGAATCAGGTCTTTAAGGAAGGGTAGTACGAAATACATCTGTTGTTAAAAGAATACCTTAAAGTAGTTCCATATGTATTTGTCACAACTCATTCACAATGCATAAAATGATATATTTTTTATCCACTTTCAAGAAAAACTTGTGGCCTAAAACATAGTAAATCACCCTTAACACACCACCCCTCAGTATGAAACATGGTGGTTGCTGCTTAATGCTTTTTGGGTGTTTTTTTTTTAGTGGGGACAGGAAAGCTGGTCAGAGCTGCTGATAAAATTAGGTAAAGATTTAAAACAGTTTCAATAATCAAATCCAGTAGCCTTGCAGATGCCTGTGCAATTTTCTGACTGTGAATCCAGAGCTTTTTTATTTGAAATAAAAAAGACATATGTATTAACTTCAGATTTATTCGAAGTTGGCATAAAATTCCATTATAATAGAATAAAAATATGAAAAAATATGAGACTCAAAGTTTGTGTTTTTGCACTTTTAGGAAAGTATATTATAGTATAAAGGGTGCTATTAATAAAGCCAGTTATAAGCAAACAATGTTTTGTTTGTAGAGACAGTTTAGTTACAGCCAACAGCACAGTAAGTCAAGAACATCTGCCAATTTTGAATGTACATGTCGAGATAGACAGAATATAAAACATATTAGTATTTGTAGCTCTTTGTTTTGTTGCAGTTTAGAGATATTACAATTTTTTGTGTGTGTTAGTGTTAAAAATAAATGCTCAATATTGCCATCCTCTCCCACTTTCCCTGCATTTTCTGCCAAATGGATCGCCAGATCTCCCTTTACTCCCTACACACCTACAGTATATTGATGTTTCTAATCTGTCTTCTCAGTGGTGTTGCACATTTTCCCAGCAGATATGTACAGATCGAGTGAAAGTGATGAGATGTACAGTAGGATGGTAACATATGCTTCAGAGAGGAGGGCTGATCTAAGGCGTTAAAATCTAACTCTAGTTTTATTTGGATTGGAAACAAGGTTAAGCTGTAAATGGAGGTTTGTGTTTCTAGAGTTTGTATAGACAGTGCTATCTCCAAGTATACCTGTTGACAGCCTCAGGACTCCCTCTTTCTACTTTGTCTGCTTTCTGACCCCTCCTGAATCCTGTTTCTGGTTGCTCCTCCCTGCTTTGGATGCCTGTCTACACTTTAAAACATTCAATTAAAAAATATTTGTATTCATTTATTTTTGTTTAACAGTGTCCTGTCTGGCAATGTGGCTATAAGAATAATTGTCTTGATGCTAAAATAGAGCCTAACAGGTTTTGCTTTAACAAGTGGAACAGTACGGCTATCACCATAGTGTTCCGCTAGATTTATGCATATAAATAGCTTTATTATAATTCATGCAAGGAGTATTACAGATTATATAGACACTGCAATGTAAGTGGAACAGGAAAGGAAAAACAGGAAAACGGAGAAAAGATGAAAGAAAGAGGAGATAAAAAGGAGACAATGATAAAACATCTTCAGTCTGCTTCATCACCTGCAAAGAGATCTAAAAAGAACAGCACAACCAACAGATATAGTATAAGAGATACAATAAAGTAGCACCTTGATACTATCGCTGAAGTAAAAGTGGTAGCATTTAATCTGATATGTATACTGTGGTAGCTGAAGATAAGAATATGGGCTTTCAAAATGGAAAAAAAAATGTAAAAAAATATTTCTATTTAAGTATATTTAAGCTATGCTTTTTTTCTTTGTCTTTCCTTTTTTTGTTTCACTTTTGGATCAACGCTGTATTTACTGTGTTCGCTGACAATTTTTTTAAACAGTTTGAAAGTTTACACAACAAAACAAGATAAGCCTTCAGAAACATGAGTAACTGGGAGCGCTTGGGTCCAGTTTCTTTAACTGTACAGAAAACAACACTGCCACTGTCACAGTTTAGCAAAGTTCTGTTCAACAAAAGCCTTTGTCAGTGGCTAATTTGATGTTACACACTTCTCACAGTCTCAGCTGGAGGTTTCACTGCAATATTCAAATAAATAGTGGCACCTACAGGTAGAAGTGAGGCTCTTTATATTCAGTGCTGAGCTTTGAAAAAAGAAAAAATCTTTAAATGTTTTATGATGCTAAAACCAAAATCTTCAATTCATCTTATTGAAATTCTTTTAAGACAGAGCAACACAAAGTAGGATAAAAGGTTATCCTGTTGGCGCTTCATTAAATCCACTTGTTAATTCATAATATCAAAATATCTAAAACAGGTAGACTTTAAAACTTTGGGGGTATTGTGCTTGTTTTGTCACAAAATATATGTGGAAGGTCAAAGTTGTTCTAAACCTTCCTTAAAAGGTTTTATGAAAAGGACAAAAAGGTAAGAGACCAATGGGAACTCTGACAAGTTTGCAGAAACCCACACATCATGTGGGAGAATTTGTTGACGTGATGACTAGTAGATGTGTACTAAGCAAATTTGGCCTTTATTGCAGACTGGCATACCCAGACGTGACTGCTCAATATCATATGTAAACATGTGTGTTTTGGCCTTTAAATATACAGGATGTATGTATACAGACGAGACCATAGTGGAACTTTTTTGGTATCTGTGCAAAACATAGTTTGTTAAACATCCTAAAAATATCATTACCGTTGTTAAAATCGGAGGTGAGAGCATCATGCTGTGGGGAACCTTATTGTCAGAGGAAATAAGGAAGTGAGGCAGATATGATGATAAAAAAAAGATTGAAAGAAAGCAGGATACTATAATGAAATAGTTTAGATCAAAGCAACCCAAATGGGTTAGAATGGCCCAGCCTAAAATCACAATCCTGAAAATTGATTTTCAGGGATTCTTAATATTTAATCTAACTAAGCTTTATTTTATTTATGAGGTTACAGAAGCAGACTTTTCTGTCTGTCAATGTGCAAACTAAGCTGGCAGAAACGTACCCCTTAAAACGAGCAGCTCTTGTTACAACAAAAAAGTGTTTAAGAACATTACCTTTAGGAGATGTACACTTTTACTATCACTAAAACTGCTGTTAATATCCATTAAAGTTAACAGTTTTAATCAACAATTTTTTATGTCAGATGATTTTTCTCATTGTGAAGACAATAAAATGGCAACCGTGTTGGAACCTCGTCCACCTGATATCAACTTTTTAGCTCTTTGACTAAAAGAGAAGAAAAGGTAGTTTCAGTTTTTAATTACGTTCTTTTTCCTAAGTGCAGAACCATCTGAACTCTGCTACTTTTACATAATTTAAATCCCAGATTTTTGCTATTGTGTTTGATTTTAGGAGAGGTTATTTATCACCTTCCCTGACACAATGAACACTTTATTTCTGATTTCACTAACTTT